CCAAACCCCTATCCTACCTCTGGACATGTCCAAACCACTGTCCCATCTCTGGACATGTCCAAACCTCTGTCCCACCGCTGGACATGTTCAAACCAGTGTACCTTCTCTGGACATGTCCAAACCACTGTTTCTTCTCTGGACATGTGAAAACCATCTCAGTCCACATGTCTAGGTAACCCATGTCCCCTCATGAAACACACTTGGTCAAAATACAAAAACTTCTTTCAAATTGAACAATGACAGGACAACAGAATTTACCATGATCAGTCTTCAGGTCTTGGACAGTGGAGACTCTTGAGTCATGAATCCATAAATCTAACAGAAGACACACATTTAAACAACTTCTGTCTCCATCGCTGTGAGCAGGGTTTGAACCTGCGCGGGGAGACCCCATTGGATTTCGAATCCAACGCCTTAACCTCTCGACCATCACAGCTGATGACATCATGATCATGGAGATGATGAAGAAGAAGAGATGAGTTCATGAAGGTGTCTTCTGGTTACAGGCAGACAATGGACACAATGGACGGGCGTCCAACACTCAGTTCATCCTCAGAATACACATTAAAAAAACATGCGAGTCCAAAGAATAAAGTGAGATTAAACCAGTTAATACCATTTATTATCTTGGTAGTTAATTAGATCTGATTGTTGGTCACCTCATTTTCACCAGACCTGACCGCAGCATCACTTTTGAGGATCTTTTTGTGACCCATCAGGAGATCCCTGCAACAGCCCCCCACCCTCACTGAACGAGTCAATCTAGAGAAAATATGAATATTCTGCAGGAGTTACTGTGAAAAACACGCAGGAAGTACTTTATTCCATCACAAACACAACACTGTCTCAGCTTTTCAGCTGTCTGTCAAATGACAAGACTCTAAATACGTTCAGTTAAATCATACGCACAATTAAAGCTAAAGAATTGTAAATAAAGTTGATCTTTTTAAAGTGTGAAAGTTACAAAAACAAAAAGCGTCAGCACTCATGTCCTGATCAATGTGAACATTTTAACATGAAAATGGTTCAAAAAGCACAATTTACACAGAAATAGATGAAACTACCGTACGGGGAAACAAACTTCTTGCAGCTACGACACGTTTTCCTGCTCCCGGCAGGTTTTTAGGTCACGTTTGTTCAAGAACCTCCTGCAGGGACGTTCCAGATTATTTTTCCAATTTCAAACTCAGAGATGTGAACTTCTGAGTAAAACCTTCAGGTCTGAGTTTCTAGTTCGATGTCAGAGTTTTACAGTTTAACTCACAGACCTTCTAAAATATAATACTGATAGAAATATATTTCTACACTAACCCTCAGCAGAGATGGAGAGAAAAGCACGAGTCCCTCAAGAACAAGTTTCCATCCGCAGGACTGTTCCTGCTGCACCCGCTCAGCTTGTTTAAGACTAAAATATGTTCCTCATAATCCCAGGATTTGTAGGAGAACGTCTGAAATGATCTTCCCTCGTAGGGCGGCTGGGATCAGCCTTAGAGATCATTTGAGGAGCTCCATCATCCGGACAAAGCTCGGAGTAGATCCACTGCTCCTCTGCATCGAAAGGAGTCAGTTGAGGTTGTTGGGGCATCTGATGAGGCTTTCTCCTGGACGGCTCTTTTTGGAGGTTTTCCACATCCCACTGGTAGGAGGCCACGGGGAAGACCCAGAAAACGCTGGAGGGTTGGTGTATCTTCTCTGGCCTGGGAACACCTCGGGGTCTCCGGGGAGAGGGAGGTCTGGGTTTCTATCCTGGACCTACTGCCTCCGTGACCTGACTACAGATAAGCTGTAGAAGAAGGTGATGTTTCCTCATGTCTTCTTTTGGCTGTTCCTTCTCCAGGGGTCTCCACAGCGAGTCGTCCTCCATCTCACTCTGTCCTTTGTCCTCACTCCAACTACCTCCATGTTGTCTCTAACTGCATTCATAGATCTACTTTCTCCTGGCAGATGCTCTTATAACATCCTTCTACCAGTATACCCTCTGTCCCTCCTCTGGACATGCCCGAACCATCTCAGTCCAGAGGCACAGGTTTCACATGTCTACTCGTGTAACACACTTGATTTAAAGCCAAAACAACTCTGAAGTGAAGAAGTCAAACAAAACCAGATCAATGAGGATTTATCTCCATTAGTTAATCCTCGGTACCTGAAGTGGACAAAGATCTTCCTCTTTATTCAACATAAAACCACAGGTCATCTCTTGGGATTTCATCTAAACTTAAATAAGGACATACATCGCTGTGAGCAGGATTTGAACCTGCGCGGGGAGACCCCATTGGATTTCGAGTCCAACGCCTTAACCTCT